ATCCTTACAGGCTTTCCTGCTGTCCCTACATACACACCCAAAGATGGTATTTTTTGGAAAGGTGATGTCACAGTGTCATGATGCTTTGCTAAATCCCATCAAGTTGTCATTCCTATTAATGCCTTTCTAATCCCAGTGTCTTGGTGAAGAGCCATCAGACCACACTTTTTCCTTGGAAAAGCCATGGGGGTCTTTTCCCTAATTCCTAGTTTTATTCTCCCTACTTGGGTGCAGCATTTTAAGGCAGGTTGAAGCTCAGCCTCATGCTTTTTATTCTCTCTAAGAGTTTCTTTTCTTCGTGACAACACAGAGCTTTCAGAGCACAAACAAGTCCAAGGAATAGATGGATTTCCTCGCTATGAAATAAGTAAAGCAGATGATTGAATAAAGTTTCATTTCCCTGCCTGGTTCAGCAGCTCTCTCTTGCTCTATTACATTTCCTAACTTGCCTCAGCAACTCTCTTACCCAGCTCTGTGAACCCCCGAGTGGGTGATCCCGTTGGGTTTTCCCTGCCATTGAAATCCTGACCTGACCCTTTTACATAGGGCCAAACTCTGCTCTCAATTCCCTGGGTTAATCCAGACTAAATCCCTGGATTAACTGGTTTTAACCCTGTGCTGGCAGAGCGCTGTGTGCAGCCCTGACTGGTGGTGTTGCCCAGGATCTACTGGTCTCTTTGTTCTTGCCAGAGCCATGGGCTGGGTAAAGATATGCTCCCAGTAAAGATCAATAAACCATCCCACGCTCTCTAGGCAACAGCAGGTCAACCACCTCCATCCAAAATCAGCAGAGCCCTTCTCCTCTGCAAGCAGGTAGACCTGAAAGCCAAAGACCAAATGCTGTCCCCTTCATTAAGTCACCCTTCTTAACAAACACCATCTCTTCTTCCCACTTTCACCTCTTTCTCACCTGCTTGGCTACCCTGAGAGTCTCACTGCACAGTTTATTGGGATTTATTTTATTTTATTTTTATTTTATTTTATTGGGATTTATTTTATTTTATTTTATTTTATTTTATTTTCATTCCCTCTGGTTTCTTCCCCAGAGCCCATGCCATCTGGGATGGGGGCTTGGGCAGCTGTGCCCATCCTGTGCAGGGTATTCCCTGCTCTTCCCTGCTCTCCCTGGGGTGGGGGCACAGGGTTTTACTTCGGTGATTTTCTCTTGGGAGCCTGGGTGAAATACTCAGGCACTTTGTTTGGCCAAGCCCAGGTTGAAAGCCTGTGTGAGGTGACTTTTTCTGCCTGCTGGGTATTCCCTTGGCTTGAAGTGAACAAGAGGAGGTTCTGCCTCTGTGGGACCTGGGCAAGAAGCTCATTCTGCCCCTAACTCTGCATCTTCCTGAAACTCTTTTCATGTCCATTATCCCTCGAGGGTGCTGTGACTCCATCTGGGTGCTGTAGGATGGGGAGCATAAAGTGCAGTGCGAGGATGACTCTGGTCCTGCCAGCCTTGGGTGGTCGGTGGCCATGGGCTCTCTTACCCCCTGCCTTGTGCACACCCTGTAGGGATGCTCTGTTTGCATCCCTACCTGATCCTTCCTGGTCAGGCATGAGATGGAGTGAGTCCCCTTTAGCTCTCCCTGTGTGTAATCGAGGGAGAAGCTCTCACCTCTGGCTCCCCAAAGCCCCCTCTGCCTTCTCCACCACTATTCCACCCTTGCCAGCAGAACCCTTCCCCTGGCAAAGGAGGCTGCTGAAAAAAGAGAGCAGCGAGCCCCAAAGATGTGTCATTGTGCTAAGTGCTTTCAAACCTTGCAGGATGTCACTGTGTCACAATTTCAGTTCATTAGGTGGCGCAGGGAAGACGCCGTGACATCAAAGCGCTCCTTTTCCCGATAGAAACGGGAGCAGCTCTTTTGATCTCAGCCCCCAGTATCCCCCCCAGATTAATATTTACTTGTACAACCCAGACCTACGGGGGATCCTGTGCTTGATTCCGCCATATGTTCTGGGGCGGTTTTCCTTGCTTCCCTGGTTTTCTCTGGGAGGTGGTTTGTCGGCGGGGGGAGGAGTAAGCGGTAATTTTTATATGTTTATTTATTTCCCTGCTACCCTCTGCTCCTCAGGCACAGCAGGGGAGGGCACCCAACCTATTTCGTGTCAACCAGTTGCTTTGAAGCTTGCCACAATCAAACGCTTTTATTTTGGGGAACCCGGCCAGCTGTTTGTTTGCTTCCCTGCTTTATATTGATTCAAGGAGATAATCTCCCAGGCCCCACGTGCTTAATCTGTGAGCTGCTAATGTTGCATGAGATATCAAAATGGTCCCTTTGCCCCTGGATTGCTGGGATATTTATGGCTTAATGCAGAGGTTTACAGCACAACGCTCATTTTTGGAGCAGCAGAGAATACATACGTGTGGCTCATAGCACAGACTGCTGTGGACTTCAGTGGGGATATTGGAGCTCGAATTCAGTGCCAAAAGGTGGCCATGTAGTTTATTTCGTAGGGATATTCTGATATAATTTGGTTCCTAGTGAGTCATTAGGATTTCTAACATCAGGGCTCAGCCGCTGGCTGCATCCCAGCAAGAACAACGGATGCTCCCTAAGAATCCAAAATGCAGGGTAGGAACTCAGGATGGGGGAAAAACTCAGTGCAAGTGTAAGGCCTCAACTTCACCCCCAGAAAGAGGGACCAGGTCTCAAAGCCAATTTGAGCAGGATCTGGCTCTCACTGCGTTAGCAGCTGACAAAATGGAGTGGAAATGAATTCAATTCAGAGACATCTAATTTCATGAGAGACTCTCTAAGAATAATTCTGCCGCAGATGCTTAAAGTGATTTCAACTTGAAAAGCAGGAAAGACAGAGAAGATGATAGAAAATGACTATGGAATTTATACCTTCCCCTCCTTGCTTTAAGCCCTGAACATCCTGCGCGTGTCCTGGCATGAAAGCTGGAGAAAACCCTGTGCAAGTGAAGCTATTTCTTCTGGTTTTATTGCCCTGACACAAAGAGGTGGCCACTGAAGGTGTATACAGCCACCTGTCCTGGGCCCACAGGGACAAGTCTGGGGGGAAAATCTGTGGTTTTTTAAATGAAGGTTTTTTTAGCAGTATTTTAAGTGCTGCTTACAGAATGCAAACAGGCGATATTTAAATTGTGTGCTATGGATATCAGTCATTCACACCATCCTGGGGAGCTCTAGGTGATACTTCTGTGCCATAAGTGTTGTTTGGGAGGCAGATCTCAAAAGCCCTGACACAGAGACCGTCGCTGATAATAACACATGACCACTATTCTTCCTACTTTTTTTTCCTGCATGTTTCCTTCCTGCTGTTTAGGGGGTTTAAACAGCCTTGATTTTCTGTGGCTGACAACACACCCCATATGCTATTTATCTTGTCAGAACTCTCTCCCTCTGCCCTCAGCTCCCATTTTGTTCTCATTAATAGTGATTATGAAAAATGGGGCTAAATACTTACTTTCATATGATTTATCCAAATGTTGAACTGCGTAATTGGAGAAGCTAAGACATTATCCCTTCAGATTCTGTCAAGACTCAATTTCTGCATTCAATTTAATTTTGAGACTCATGACCCATAACAGTACATGTATTTATTGCCTTTATGGTGGCTCGCCTGTACAATATATCTATCAATCAGGAGCAGGAAGCTGCATATTATTTATAAGGATTTCAATAGTCAGTGTTTTTTAAGAACACTTGTCTTTCTCACGCAGTTATTAACACGGGGCCTCTAGATACAACAAAATTGAAAGTCAGCTGGAAGGAATGCCCTTATAATGAAGATATTTAATAACTGGCATCAGCCTCTGGTTTTCCTTTCAGTGACAGAAGTGACGCATGAGCAAAGGCAAAGGGAACGCTTTGCACTGCAGAAACCTCGCCTGCCCCTTCTAGGGCCTGATCCTTTCCCCTTCCCTCTTGGAATGGCTCATGTCTAAAAGGCATTAGTGCACAGACACATAAGGTTTGGTCCTGCCTTCCTCAGCTCCCTCCCAGAGATGTGCACACACACACACACACACACACACACACACTTGCACACACAGTGCAAGTGTCATTGCCTTGCAGCGATTTGGTGCATCCCTCTCCCCTTGCTAATCCATCATTTCCACACCTGTTTTTCACAAATCACTTTTGCCCAGCTTTGGACCTGATGGCAGCTGAATGCAAATGCTTCTCTGCAGCCAAGTGTCTCCATCATACGGATTGTCAACCTGCAACTCGGATCAAAACTGAGCCTCCTCGAGGCTTGGGAGCCACTGTGAAGTACCAAAGCAACAGAGAAACTCAACCCCACCATCACATCCACGTCGCCCACAGTACCACCCTGCTTTCCAAATCAACCCTGACACAGTGTTGAAATTGTTAATAAAACGAGTAATCAAGCTGCTAATATCTGCAAGCACCATTTTGGAAAAGAAGATAATAGAGCAACCATCAGGGAGTATAGTTAATGTATAAAACAATTACTGTAGTCAGATGCTTAAGTAAGAGCCATGGTGGTAACAAAGGCATTACTGTACAGAGCAGCAGAGTACAGTACACAGGATATTTTATTTGTGATGCCAGGATGGAAAAGAAAAACTCTCAAGAGGAAACTGATGCATTTTTCACCAAATTTTCACCAGTAGCCTTTTTCCTTGGCATGAAACCTGCTAACACACACATACGTGTGCACACAAATGTAGTTTTAACTTAGTATTATTTGTTGTAGAAACTAATATGGTTATTTAAAGCACCCTCTTTTGCTGCCAGCTAGCTCATGGCAGTGGTTGTCTTTCTTTTAAATACTAACAGTGTATATATACATGTAAACACTAGCAGTTTCAAATCCTAACAGTGGTAATCAGTCAAGATAGCTTTGGTTCAAGTAGGCCTGTTAAACAAAGGCTTCCCAGTGCCATTTCTGATAAGGATCTAACTGCTAATCTTTTACTTTGCAGCCAGTCAGAGTCTTGGGCACAGCTCTTCCCTCCTCGTGAGACTGTTGCAGGGAACAATAAGAATATTGATTCTTTTTTTTTTTTTTTTTAAGACTCATAATACCACAATGATTTCCACTCCGCTCCCCTTTATTTTCTCCAGCATTTGGTGGGTTTTGCTCAGCTTTAATTGCTACAAAGCTCTCCTGTTTTCTGTTGTTAGCACTAAATCTGTATCCTGCTCCCTGCCGCATGGCAGCGGTTAGGACATTTTATTGTCTCTTTAATCCCAGTTCTTCTGTTGTGCATCTTCCTCTGCAAGGAGAAAAAACTGCCCAGTGAACCCCAAAGCACAGAGGAAAAACACAAAGGATATAAATAAAAGGACTGGATGGGATATCCTGGTTAAGCACTTACAGAGCAGGAGCTGTTTGCTGGGAGAGGGGCGCTGAGAAGGAATTTTGCTGGTTTTCGTTTAAGGATGAATGTAAGAGTGGAAGTACCTAAAATGGCTTAACTGGAATGCCTTATTCAGAAAGATTTCTGTCTATGCAACCATTCAACTGATTGGGAGAAAAAGTGAAGTATTGTCACTGATAATTTTTCCATTAAACCATTATCCCAATTTTCTATTCAAGAAATATTTTCCCCTGTAGTGAACACTGTTCTGTTTTTTAATGTGTACAAGATATTTTAGCTGTTTCCCTGCCTTCAATTTCAAAAAGATAAAAAAAAAGAAGTCACAATTCAAAATACTTTTATCAGCTTTATCATGCTAGTTTTGGTTTTATGACATATTCTGCATAGAACTCAAATGCAGCAAAACTATATATCTCCATTTAAATAAATGGAGAGGATTTACTGAACAGTTCCTTCTGGTTGGATTATAGATGGAGCAACAATAATAACTATACTCAGGTCATGTAACTCTTTACGTTAAAACTTAGTTTCACATTGTTTCAAATTTTGACAATTTTTAGCCCAGATTTTAACAGAAACAATGCACCCATTTCTCAGAACAGGATCAATGAAAATCAGAAAGCTCTGTCCAATAAATCACTATTTTTGGAGTGTGTCTCACAGTCACTTGCTGGGTATTTCCCCCTCACATCGGGATTTGCGAAGGGCCGTGTGCTCTTTCCCATGAACTTTGCATTTATCCATTCCTCTAGTGCTCTCTGGTTCCTGTGGGAAATCTCTTTAATGCTGGAAATCCTGAGGTTAACTAGCTACAATTGGTATTTATTTATTAAAAGCATTGGCTGATCTTGAGGCTGAGCAAGGATGGGTTTCTCATCCAGGAGATTCAGGGATTTACCTGGGGGAACAAAATCAGCTGAGGCCAAAGGGTCCCCTCCATTCCTGGGTGCATCACCAGGTCCACTTCAACAGGTAAGGGATGCAGGAGACCTCGATCCCTCATCCCACTGTCCTTCACTGCACTGACCAGCACGTCATGGTTGTCATTATTAGATTTTTTTTTTTTAAGTTCTATCGCTTGTCTTTTTTATGGTCAGACAGTCACCTGTCAGCATCAATTACGGGAGTTAATATTGATGTCCTCTTAAAAGAGGTTTAAATATTAAAGTGAAAAGGGACTTGCTCTGGGCTTCATCTCTTTGTGGTGCTCGTCAATAAAACCTGAACTTGCAAAACAGTTGTCACAGCGATTTTTTGTGTCTTGCGCTGACGTGACGCCCGAGCGGCAAAAGTCACCGGGATTTTTCAAATGAGCAAACTGCACTTATTAATTATGTTAATAATGACGACTCCAGATAGCTGCTCTGAGGAAGACAATGGCTGAAACTTGCTCCTTGCAAAAGGGACAGTGGAGGAGCCGTTGCCTCTGTTGTATTTAGAGGCTTTAACGCAGGAAAAAAAATCTTCCTCTGCTTCTGGGGAAACAATCATTCACACCTATAAACCCGAACCCTCAATATGCATATCTTTATTTTAACCACCATGCTATTTATTGATTTTCCCTGCAATTATGCAGCGCTGTATTTATTTGCAGCAGGGCTCTGCTGTGCCATATATTAAACCTCCCTTCCTCCAGTGGTGGCTCTTTAGAAAAATGCTTCTGATTTCCCCTCAGAGTATGAGGTCAATAGGCCATAACTTATGATTTTGAACCTATAGCCAGACCTAATTTATGGATCATTTCTGGTTTCTTGTGTTTAACTGTTTCTGGGAGAGGTTTTCATCAGAGAGAGGGAGCAGATCCATGTGCACAGCTGAGATCCAGACCTATGGACTGTAGGAAGGCTCAGGGCAATGCTATAGCTAATTCAGATCTGCTTCCCTATAAATTATGTATAGTTCTCCTGAAAAATGTTTGTATTTCCTAATATGCCTCTAGATTATTTCACTAAAGCAAGGGAAATGTTGTTAAGAAAGTCAGTTCTCACGTAACAGAAATTAACTTTCATTTGCTAAGCACAGAATGCATTTAATTCTCAAATTTTGTTTATTGGGCTAATATTGACAAAATATGAATTTGCTTTTCTTACTTCACAACTTTGGCGATATTTGCCATGGACAAAAGGTGAAGGTTTTACATTACAATGTGTAAACATTAAAAAAAATAATCTGGTCTCCAGCACGATCAGGTTTGCATCAGGGTGGGGTGTCAGGGCGATGCTGTGGTGGGCAGGATCAGCAGAGGTATGGCTGAACTGAAGGGGTTCACACGCTGTTTTCTCTGACACAAACTGGCTCAGGGAGCTCAGGAGAGGGCCAATCCCCCCTTCCAGAAGACTTTCTGATTAAAGGCAGAGAAAGCTGGGTGTATAAATGGGGGCAGCACAGGCTGCCTGTACAGAGGGAAGTGTCTGGAGTCAGCTGGGCCAGGGCCGTGGCTTGCTACATGCATCAGTTCATTTTTGACTTAACTGCCTGAGCAGCTCCTGGGAGCAATCCCCTTGTGCTTTCCATCACCAAAACCATCTGCTAGAGTTGTGCCTGGAATTGCCTGGTCCTCTGGAGGCAACAGGGAGAAAAAAAAAGAAAAAAAAAATCAAAGTGAAATTCTTCCCTGGAAAGAAGTAAAATAAATAATTAAACAAATAAATTTTAAAAGATTTAACCCATTTGATCCCGAACGATGTTTTTTTTGCAACCCCAACGCAGGTCAGGCAGGGGCTGGGTTGGATCCATCCTTCAGGAGCTCACTGGTGGTACTGGGTGCCTGGAGGTTCACCAGGTGCCTGGAGGGTGTGATGGAACATGCCAGGGAACAAGTAGATGGAGTCAAAAGCTGCTGATGAGGTTCGGATGTGAGCCGGTGCCAGGCGCACTCAGCAGCGGCTCCGCAGCCCCGGCTGCGTCAGCACCGAGCTTGCCATGATAACCCTCCGTTCTGCACACCCAGGCACGTGGGATCACAGGAAACACAGCTACAAAAATGCCATGGGCAGTCCAGAGTGAGGAGTGAGCTACTCCTCTCTCCCTGGGGCATGGGCAGGGCACCCATGGCTGCCCAGGGTGCCGCAGGGGCAGCTGCACACGTGGTGAGTGTGTGAGTGCTCACGTCTGCCCGCAGCAGGCTCTGACCCCCCGCAGCACCCAGGCACCACGGGGCGACTTGGAGACGAACCCACAGCCTTTAATTCTGGATTTATGGCTGCTACTGATCCTAAGCTAACCCCCTGCCATTACAGTGTCTGAATGCAACTTTGGGGATTAATAAATGGGAAAAGTCGAGGCCTTAACTGTCAGGAATATTGTAGATGTGCCCGGCACTAAAACCAACAGCCATAAACCACGGAGGAATCCACTTCACCTAAAGAGAAACCAGCTGCAGAGGGTTAACAGAGTCCAGCCATCACGCCAAGAGACTCAGCCACCGCTCCAGGCTCCAGTGTCGCAGGAGCCCAAGGAGTTAAACCCAAGCAAACCTCCTCATGCATTTTATGTCACAACTCCCCCCTTTTTGTCTGTGTGTGTGTGTGTGTGACCAAGCCAAGTTCTTTTTTAGCTCTACCCTTTTGAAAACTGCTGGTTACAGATAAATTAAAATGCCAGAACTGAAATTGCCCACGTTAGCCCCTAAGGGAGCCTGCACTGTCATCTTTCATTAGATGCTGATAGACCAAAAGCCCAAGGCAAAGTGAAAGCTGGTTCCTAAGAAAGGGCTGGGAGCCAGGAGCTGCATCTCTCTGCTGTAATCTTGCATCTCTGTCCTTTTAAGTTTAAGCTGAGCAATGCTTTCTTGGACATGTCTGTTTTCATACTGCAAATTTCAGTCTTAAAATCAACAGCAAATATGAACAGGGTATTCCACAGAGTCCTAAATTGTCAAGACAAGCCAGTGCATTTTCTCAGAGCAATCTGATGGTTTTGTCTGGTGTCAGCCCTTACATCCTCCAGTGCAGATGATATGTTTGGACGGTTTAATAAAGAGTTGTTTATAAATATGACTGTTATTCTTTTTTAAAAAAATAGAATTACAGAATCTTTCAGTAAGGGAGGTGGGATTTCCCCCATAATTCGTCCATCTTTTTGCAGGACAGGTAGTGGCTTGGTGGGCTTTGTGAGGTGTAACACAAGGGTGAAATGGTCAAGTTTAAAAAAAAAAAAAATTATGCCTGCACAAGATGCTTAATAAACCATAAAGGCCAGTGGCTTTCCAGCATCCTTTCACTTTGTGTTTGAATTAAAGATGTGCTATGACTTAGAAAAATGGGGCTTGTCTAGGGTGTGCACTGGGCAGCAGGCAGGAGCCTCCAAAAAGAGGTAACAGCCAAATCTGATCCCTAATGAGCAACTCAAACTGTGTTTTGCTGCTGTGCCCAAAGGATAAAAGCTTCCTTATTTTCCCAGGAGCAGTGAATGGGTGAGAAGGCTCTTTAACATCACCCCTGTGTCACCTTATCCGTACAAAATCCTGCTGAGGAAATCAAGCTGGGAAACCACACTGGGCTGCCTGGTTGTTGTAACCTTTGGATGGACAGTCACCATGAAGTTCAATAGCAGGTGGCTGAATGTGGTATCTTTTAAGGCATGCAAAAGTGTTGAAAGCCTGGAGAAGCCAGCCCAGTTGTTTTTGCTCATCTGTCGCTTTAGGCAGTGAAATAATTTACTCCATTTCCATCCACCTTCTTCCCTTTATTTGTATTGAATTATGATGGGGAAACGAGCCGTCTTAGATGTTGCTTACTTTCCTGGAGTCAGCAAGGCTTTGGTTTCCAGACCATTATATCTCTGTGCTCCTAATCTCAATGGTTTTTTTTTTTTTTTTTTTCCTGGCTGCTCCTGAATTAATTTTTACTCTGTGTGTACAACACAAAGCAAACAACCGCCCAGCACAGTCCAGCTCGCTTTTCTCTCTGCGGCAGGCAGGGCCACTTCACCGCGTGACACCCGCAGCTGATTGAGTGTGTGGAACCAGAACACAAAGTAAAGAGAACTGGAAAGTATATTGTTCCAAAAGTTATTGGGCAAGGCCGTGGGGAATTAGTTTTCATTGCTCAACAGCTCCAGAGGAGGCAATAATAATGAGCTGCACTTAGCAAAAGTAAATACCTGTGACAACCCCATGGAGGTGCACAGGGCTCGGGCTGTGTCAGCACTGTGAGCTGGACTCCTCAGGATCATGAAGGAAGGAGGAAAATTTTGGCTTTATTTCTGGGGAGTTTCTGCTGTATCTGAGCACTTCAGTGGAAGGCACTTTGGTAGGGATTTTATGAGAGGTCTTACCAAGGACAAACATTCCTGCAATGGAATAATTTGGTATTTTACCTCTAAATTTTCTTTCACTGCATCCCAGAGACTTGATTCCAACATATAGTGAGGAAGGGGATTCCATGGGCTTCATGACCAGCGCTGCCACTGCTCTGCCTTCCCAATTCCACTCCTTCTCATTTTTAAATAAATGTGTTCTTATACGCCACAGATGAAGCCTGTTGCCAGAGGCTGTCATTTGGGATAAAGCAGGGGTTTAATTTCACATATGTGATCCAAATACAATCAGAAGAGTGAAAAGAAGATCAGACTTTGGGTCTCATTATGCTCACTTCTCCTGACTCTGGATAATTTTTGCAGACTGAGGTTTGTCTGGAGGGTTGGTGCAGGGTGTGAGTGCACCCAGCAAGCCTTTGGGATGCCCAGCAAGGATGCAGCCACACCTCCTTGCCTGGATCTTCCAACCCTCCAGCATCCACTACATACAGAAAGGTCATGTAAAAAAACCCCAGCCAAGCCTCCAGCACTTTCCAGCAGGAGCCTGGGAACAGCCATCAGGCAGCAATTGTGCCTGACGTTGTGCACATCAGGGTGGTTTCTCTCACTGGTGAGAAGAGGTGGGTGCTCTGAAGAACCTTTTCTGGCCACAGAGCAAAACTGTGGGGTTGTAAGAAGGGCAAATTTGGTCTAAAATCAGGAATGCCATTTAGTTTCCTGACTTATAGGATAATCACACTCCCTTTACACGGGTGTCATGCCGTTTAATTAGTAAATGATTAATTTGTTAATGATTTCCCTGGCATGGAAAGCACTGCTGAACAGCTTCTTTTCCCAGCCATGGAAATCTGTGGCAGAAGGGAGGTACATCTGCACCTTCTCAGGCCTGTCTGGTTACTCCCCCATTCCTCCACTGCTCTACTGCTCTCCTCGGGTCTATGCATTTGGTATCTGCAGCTCCTCTGCAGTAAGGCAGGAAAGATTTCCATGGGCTGAGCCACATCATTGCTCTCCATGAAGCAGAAAGAGAAAATATATTTTCTCAGAGCTGGACAAGAGCTGGGAACTGAGTATCAGCTCTCCTGGTAGCCACTGCTGCACCTTGCTCAGAGCCACCTGCAGAAGAGACATGTTTGCATGGCAAACTCAAACATAAAACATGGTCTGCTCTGTAAACACTAAAATATCTCAAATTCTGTTTTATTCACAATTTCAGCAAATGAGATTATTGGTGAAAGGAGAAGGAAGCACAAATGAATTGCAGCCTTGCTTAGGAAAAAGGAGAGAGACTCATTTAAGCCAATTTCTCCAATCAAGAAGAAAGGCTGTTTGAAAAACAGATCAAAACAAGTCTAGTTTCCTTGCAGAAGGAGTTGATCAGAATGGCATTTTCCATAAAAAGGGCTCAAGAGGAACTTTGAAAAGACTTGGGCTGATCCCTGGAGTGGTTTGAACCCTCACAGCACATGCTGCAACATTCCCATACCCTGGTGTGGCTGTTTCTCCACCTTCCTCTGTCTCCCAAGGGGTCATTTTGCTACAGAGACAGATGAAAAGCCCCAGAAAGGTTTCCATTTTCCTGACCCTGCCTGAAAGCTTCTCTGACCAGGATGAATCTGTTCCCTGGCCTCTGGAAGCACCCCAGGTTTCAGGCAGAGATAGGGCTCACCACAGCCTGTGCTCTGCTGTGGGTCCTGCCCTTTTAATTCTTGTGAGCAGCTTATCTGCCTTTCCTTATCTCGATTCCTTCCTTCTTCATGATTCCCTTCTTACCCTTACCTTCCTGCCATCCTTTTCCCCAGCCCAGCTAAACCTCCCTGGGGAGGGGCTGCCCCTTTTACAGCTTTTTGCCTGAAGCTACACATCTCCCAACCGAGTGCTTTTTTGAGGGCCCTTGATTTTAGAAAGCTCCAGTTTTGGAGCTCAGTGGAGAAGTATAACTGTGACATCAGCATTGTGGCACTGGGAAAAAACCTGCTGCAAGTGTGAGCAGAGCTGAACCCCTCACATCTTGGCTCCATATTCCTTAGGAAACCTTGGCACACAAATACACTGCCTTTTGTGTGCAAAGCCGTGCACTCAGCTCTGCAAACTGGTGAGATTGGCTTAAAAATAATGACGTTTTAAAACTGAGTAAAATACATTTTGGGCAACTTTCATCTGCTCCTTGGCTTTGGAGTGGTTCTCAGTTTGGCCCTGGGGACCACTTCAATCCCATTTCCAAGTTCTTCTCTGTACCCTGGAGGGCCAGACGTCTACTTGAAGAAATCAAATCAAATCTGAGATTGCCCGAAACCCCACAAAAATACTGATGCTTTTAAAACCAAACAAAATCTTCACTCCAAATGGAAACTGGGTCCAGCCTGACAACAAAAATCACAAGTTGGCACTGCAGCCCTCCCAGCGAGGCATCCTGGCTGATTAGCGCTGCTGCCTCATTAACATGCATACCATAATCTCATTTGCTCCAGGATTGCTTTGATGTTAATTCCAGCGTTTTGGTGCAGTGTGGTACTGCACTCTGTGTTTCCAGGCTAGCATCCCTCTCTTCTGCAGTCCAAGCCTTTTCTTTCCCGTGAGTCTGCCCTTGCTGCAGCCACTAAAGCACCAGCCACCTTCATCCTCCCATGGTGTGGCTTTGCCCCCACCTTCCAGCCTGGCCCCACACTGGTTGTGCTCTGCTTTCCATGTAATTTCCCTCTCCCTATAATTTTCCAGCCATTCTTTCATATATTTTTTCGAACTAAGAGCACCTTTTCCCCAAGCCCCATGACTCCTAGGTAGGATATTCAGCTGTGAAGGTTGTCCACTTGGGGGACAAAGGAAGGATATTTGGTGCATCCTGCCCAGTGGGTTTGCTCTGTTGCTCATGAACAAATCTGCTGAACCCTGCTGCTGCAGCTGGCCAGCTCTGCTGCCTTCCTTCACCGTGACAGAGGGGACAGCCATGGTGTGGAGGGGATGGGCAGACATCATGGCAAGGACACCAAACTGAGCCCTGGTCTCTCCAAACACACTCTCTGCTCATGGGGCTATTTTTATGGCTAGAGGAGAAGGACTGTGGGATGTCCAGTCAGAGAAGGAGCTCTGAGCTGGCTGCCATCTGCCTGTCAGCCCAGGATAACCATGTCTGCAGCCCATGGAACTGCACAGAGCCATGGGGGCACAGGGGCTGGGTGGAGCAGGGCCACAGCCCTGGGTGTTGGGGTGCCAGACACAGGCTCTGTGCTCTCAGGGACAGCTCTGTGTCTCCATGAATAGCTGTGCTCAGTGTGTGCATGCACAGCTGTGCAAGTTATTGTCCATAGAAGCTCCTGAAATCATATACCCCAAAAGCCTTGCACCCCTGGGAAATACTGTCCCCCTCCTTCTGGATGACCCAGAGCTGGAGCACAGAAAAAAACACAAGAAGCCGGTAAATGAAGAGAGTAGAAAATCCTGCTTACTCCAATGAGAAAATAAATGCACTGGTGCAGCATGGACAAGGGCATCACCAGGTGTTCAGTGAGGTGGGGGACCAAAGTTTGATGTATGTCATTACAGGGAGCAGAGCTATCAAGAGAGCCAGACATGTGGCCAGGGTTGGCTGAGGCTGGGGCTGGGGTAAAGAGGTTTTGTTCAGAGCAAGGTGGAGGTTTTACCTCTCCACAAAATCAATCATTTACACACTTCTCCAGTGTGGATTCCGGATATCCCAGACATTTATGACTCAGAGCTGCCTCAAAACTTGGGCAGGCCAGAAACGTGAGGCTGCTTTATTGTCTGGGAGACCAATGACTTTAATAATTAGCATCTTACTTACACATGATTTCTATACTCAATTTGAATCTTAATTAGAGATGGAGAGGGGGATTTAGAAATCCTGATGTAGCTCATGAGTGTCTCCCGCCTGCTTGGAGGAAACCCTGCAGTGAGACCCATGACAAACCTGCTGCAGCATCGGGGACCTCACCCTGCTGCTTCCTGGGGAGCATCCAGTCCCTCCAGGGATGCTACTGGAGCTGGAGGGTCCCACAGCCAAGCCCTGTACATTTACAGAGCACAAAGCACAGCTCCAGCCTGCAAGGACACGGGCTGGCCAAAGGGTAACCACAGGTGCTCACCCAGCACGTCCCTCCAGCTCAGAGGTACCACCAGCACCTTCTGCTAAAGGGAGATGTGATGAACCCTAGGACTGCCTCTGCTGGTAGGACAGGCTGCAGGGAGCATGGAGCTGCTCTAGATGGGCTGAGTCTGCTAGTGCTGCTCAGCCCCAGCATCTGCCCAAAGTGCTCAGCAGCTGTAAAAATCCGCTGTGATTTAGGGCCCAAGAAAGGGATGGAGGGGCTGTCAGTGCAGGCAGGCGGCTTTAAACCTCAGCCTACGTGTCTTTACACAGGGAGATGCATTAAAAAAATGCGAGGCATTTGAAGCCCACCATTTTAATTAAACTGATTTAACATCCGAGCTTGCGAGGGGCTCGGGGCTGGCAAGCACAAAGGAGCTGCACAATCACTTTGGCTCCATTGTTGACGGGCTTTTGCTCTCTGTTTGTACAATAACCTATTGAACTTTTCCAGACTGTAATTCAATACAGAATAGATCCTTGCAGGAGGCTTTTTTGGCAGGGAGCACTGAAGGCCTTGAATCAATTTCACTTTTCCAGCGTGGTTGTTTAATGTATTGATACCAGCTGGAAAAAAAAAAAAAGAAGGAAAAATAAAAAGGAATCAATGTTACTTTTATTTGTCCTGAGCTGAAGCCTTTTGGTTCCGTTCTTTGTGACACTGATACCATGCAGCGTGTGGCCATTGTCCCACCTTCGCCAGAGAAAGCAAAGGCTGCTAATGCGAAACAAGGCGGGTTTTTTTGTTGGTAATACTTCCCGCTTTTGCAAGGGCTTAAAAGGTTTTATAGGAAGAGAAAAGTCCAGCAACCCACCACTGCACGGCTTAGGTGGTTGTTCTAGTGGTACTGAAGCAATGCTGCAGGACCAGGACTCTGGGTGTGCGGCCAAGGTGGTGCTCAGGGTCAGGCATCGCCCCGTCACCTGGGCATAAACCTAGAGCTGAGCACAGCATCAGACCAGACAGGGCTTCTCCAGCTCCTCTCTGAGGACCCAATTTTTAAAAGAGCCCAGGGACTTCCTGCCATGCTCTGGCAGCACAGCTGGACGGGCCCTGCAGGGGGATCTGTGCTGCATTACCAGTGGGCCAATTTCATCCCCTGCATCCAGGTGTGGCTGTGCAGCCTCGGAGAAAGGGCAAGAGGAGAGAAAACACCAGCATGGCTGTGGCCGAGCCTGGGGTGGGCTGGCAGCACAGTGCAGCCCACCATGACCCTTCCACACAGAAGGATGAGGGGTGTGCAGGAGCCAGGGGATGCCCACGGTTTGGGTAACACGGCAGGAACATGCAGGCTCCGGAGCAAGGGATGCGCTGCGCACCAGAAGCACTCCCAAAAGACAGGGCTGTTAATTGTTACTTAAGCAACGAAGCTGTTTCAGATTGCCTGGGGTGAAGCAGCGGCAGTGGAAGGTTTCTCACTGCCAGAGTGAGAAGTGGCGTCGTTGGGGCCTCTCTTTGCTGAGAAACTTACTGGGAGTGTGAATGAAAACTGTGGGCTGCCCCGGGGCCACTGGTGTGACTGCAAGCATGAAGCACCTGGGAGAGAAACCAGAAAATCCAGCCCAAAATGAGCATGCAGAGGGAAAACAAATCCTCTTGGGTTGAGCCAAACTTCCAGATGAAAACAGGGAGCAGGACTGGGAGGTGTCAGACATGTCCTGGGCTCCCAGGCATCCCTGCTGAGCCGGTGTGCCTTTTCCAGCCCTGGAAGAGGAGCATTTCCCTGCCTTGCCCCCATCCCAGCCCTCTCCCAGCCATGCTGCCTGTGAGGGTCTGGCCTGTGTGAACCAACTGAATATGGCACACACGAACACACATGAAGAGATAGGGAATGTGCTTGGAGACAATTGCCAGTCATCCTAGGAAAAGGAAAGGCTGGATTTCACAAGCTCTTAGTGATGAAAAGCACAAATCCCACTGACTTACACTCAGAGTATTTTTTCTGTTAGGATTTCTGCAAATGAAGAGGAGACTGATACTCCAGCAGTTAATTGTGGGAAAATAGGACTGTTTTGAATGGAGTTTCACTTGCTGAAGATCTGCCCTGAGGATTTAGTCTTGGGTTTAAAAGGCAGATGCTCAAGGGCCAGACAGAGCTTTCTGCCCTGCCGTTTACCACAGGTAGAGAGGTAAAATTTACCCCTCTAAGCTACCTT